AGTCAAATACTGTAATTGTCATTACGATTGTAGTCTATGTAGTTTCTTTTAAATCAGTTGGTTTGCCCCAGAAGGTTTGGGACTTGAAAGGCGTGCTGCGAGCTGAAAAGGTTTGCAGGGCACCGTAGTGGCAAACCCCAGCGAACAGAGAACATAGAAAGCAACTTCAATAAGGAACCTAAAGAATCACATTATTTATATACTGCATACTTTATTAAAAGCAAAAACTTGACATGGGATGGCAAAAGAATTGAACCCGTCTAATGAAAACTAAGAGTAATATAGACAAAACTTTCAATGTTCTGTAGAAGGTTATGGAGCCTATCCCTTTACGAGATAAACGAGGATGTGTTGCCATATTAAATGATACACATTATAACTGATAGAATGTCTCTAAGCAGCTCATATCGCATATGAACCAAACCCACGAGTAGTTCAAATTAATCTTACATTTTGATTTTTAAGCGGAAATTGGACTCACCAGAATTTTTTGGGTCGGCCAATTCGAAAAGGAGAACAAGGCATGTTGAAAGACACTTCTATTTGTCCTGTGAAAAGTCTCGGATCAGCCCAGAAGACTGCTTTCTCTTTCTGTATCGGAGAGACACCTCAGTCGGGTTCACCAAGACAAACGCTGCTTATTAAAAGAGGTCTCTTGCTGCAGCCTGCCTCTTTGCTGCAGTGATGGTCAGGCCAGCGTTCATCTTCAGGAAAATATGAGGCTTCTGTCTTGGCCTAATGCATTTAGTATACTATCACCTTATTATAAATAATTTTTACTGGTCCCACAGAAGTCTGTGAATTTTAGTACACAAGAAAACTAATTTGCCACTTTTCAGGAAAAAAACAACAACACAAACGACAGAAGGAAGACCTTGTTCCACTATGTCCGTATTGGCATAAAACGTTGTCAAGAAGTGGAATTTATGGGAGACAGCCCTGTTTATAAATGCCGTTTCAGTGATGAATACCAGCGGAGGAAGCGCAGCTTGTTAAAATATTTATCAGGCCATGTTGCACGATTGATTCCTGCTTGGTACGGGTGAAGGACACAGACGGAAACAGGACATGAAAAGAGGTTCCCTTCCAAAAAAAAAACACACAGAGATTCAGCGCGATAGATGCGCTGCGTGCTGAGAAAACCTTGTTTCAAGCAAAGAAAGGCAGAACCTTAACTGCTGATCAATAGAAATGAGCCAGGGATTTGAATAATCATCAGGTCGCTGATGCCTGCAGCACTTAGCGCTTCCTAGCAGGGAAAAAAAACAAACTTTCAAGAAACTCAATCCCACGCTATTGATTTATGTATAATCACTTTAGTTCATTGTGCTCTGCACAGCCCCAGCCTTACCTTAATGCCTGCATCACTAATCAACTCAATATGATTTACTGTGGCTATAGCCCCTGCTGTTTTAGATTTACAGGCACCTGCTTCTCCTATGACTATTTCCCTCAAAAAGTCACTGAAGAGCTCAGCTCTATTCATAGATTCTAATCAGAAATACGCCATAATCTCTGGCTTTATCTCTAAGGCATATACTGCAGTAGTAATAGGTAGCAGATTTGCAAACTTATAATTTGTTGTCTTCTGCTATGCAATACTAATACCTCTTAACAGCTCAGTCTCTCTTGTGCACAAAGCACAGAACGAGGCATAACTTGTATTTGTCTCTAGTTCAATTCTTTCAGGTTCCTGCTGATTTCTATTAAATTTTATGAGTAAAATGTGATGGTATGCTACTCTTCTCCTGCGGTACACTGAAACCACTCAGAATTTGGCCGGCTACAGTCAAGCAAGGCTACACTCCACAAATGCTAATGAGATCATTAACATGACGATCACAAGAACACTGACTTTGGTTGTCGCAGCCCAATCTCTCCTGACAGAAAACTGCATTTCAGTCAGAATTTCAGGTCTTCCTGACCTCTCCCTTCGTGTGTATGGTTATAAATCTTGGCTCCACGCAAACCCTTTTTTATTTTCAAAAGACAGCATCAGATCATACAGTGCATTACATCCCATCCGATCCAGACTGCTGCCAAATCCAAGAAGGGAAACGTTTCCACAGCCAGTGGGACTCGTCAGTATTCAGGCCTCTGGCGACAAGCAGTTTCTTCTTCAGTCCTGTCAACTTTTTTTCTGCGGCGGCGACTGTTTCTCTTCTGATCGGGCTGCAGAATTGATTGCGAGCATCGCTGCCAGGTGTTTTTTTTTTAAGACACCCCAGTTCACTTCATACATCACACTGAAGCACGGCCCAGCTGGCCTGACCTCTGTGAATCGCAGTCATCCATCTGTGGAACTGGAGAGGTTCTGCTCCCTGACTGCTGAGCCAGAGAGGCTCTCTGCAGCTATTGGACACACAGGAAACTGCAAACTGTACCTGCATACGGCAGCTCACACACGACAACTACACTGCAAGGCTGTGCAATATTGTTAACAGTTGCCTTGGCAACAGAACGGGATTCAGCAGAGTATGCACAGTGTCCCTGAGTGCTCCTTCCTGCCCATTTCTTTCCATCTCTCCTTCTTATATGAGCTTTTTCACTCACTACCCTTTTCTGCTTCCTCACATTAAGTGCTGCGATTTGCAGATTCCAGACATTCGGTGAAAACAGCGAGAAGGAATACTCCACAAACCGTGAAGCCTTAGACAAAAGACTGCAGAGCAAGGCTGCAGTTTCTGACCAGATATTGGTGAGACTATGAAGCACCAGTGGCCAACACGAGTTCACAACTTTCAGCAGCCTAGTTTTGCATCTCAAACCACAACATTTGCAATTATAAAAATGCAGAAAGCCCACAGCTAATAAGAATGATTAGGAGTATTTACTAAATGTGCTTCATGCAGACTAATAGACTTTAAAAACAGACCAGAAATGACAGGAAATCAGCAGATTTAAGGACAATGATATTCCTCATACTAATAATTTGAGTTTAGATTGTATCAGTTTTTATCATTGTTTTGAAGTGTAAAGTGAATCTCACTGTTTGAGAAGATCATTTTCTGTTGTTACAGTATATTTCATTTTTATCTTTTGGCACGTTATCAGGTGCCAAAATTTGGAAACCATACAAAGTATTCAAAGCAAAATCTTTTACTCTTACCTAAAAAATACTGGATTTTAGTCATTTTTATTTACGCAACTCTACAGACATCTACAGAACAGCAGAAATACTCACTAGCAGCCTATGTCTTAGGATGTGTATTAGGATGAACAAATATTTGATAAAGTTAGAAAAGATACAGGTAGTTACCAACAAAAACTTGACATTTGACAACAAACCTGACATTTAACGTATTACTGAATAATCTTGCTTAAAACAGAGAATCCCTATATCTGTTTAGCCACGAAAACTGTGAAAGCAAGACTATTTGATTCAAAGCCTTCCAGGCAGACTTGAGATCAGTCTCGTGCTTCAAGAAGGAAATGAAAAGAAAACAGGCTGCACAAAGCAGCTACTATTTATAACTTGTACAACCTTCTTTTGCAGCTCATATTTTACAGACTTAGTAATACCAACTTTGTGAAACAGTTTTGTCTGAAACGTGGAGTTAAATATTGTCAGCGTGCATGTTTTTATTGGTTTAAAACCAACATGTGGGGCCCTGCTAAAATTCGTTCATCCCAACTCACCCCATTCTCAATATCCCCTCCAGTGATTGTGAGATAAGCTTAGTCCAGTTTTGGTTAGAACTGTGTTGGTGCCTATTACTTTTGAATTGGACCATTTTTTTTCCAATTAAAGTAAACATTAACATAAGTGTCCATATGTTTAAAATAACTCACTCAAAAATGAAAGAAATCCAATAGGTACCAACTGCTGAAAGAAAATGTCTATCTTCACATTGAAAATAAGCACCATAAAGTGTCTCACTAATTGAAAAAGAACAAAATAAGATTGTGTAAGACGTGAGCTCATGTTGTTTCAATTACAATGGAAGTCCACAACTACTGTTCTTTCCAAGCTCTGCCATACATACAGTATGATACTGAAAGAACACTGGGATGCAGATCTTTGCTTTCATTACCTCAATTAAGCGAATGATCGTAGCGTTACAGTAATACAACCTTATAATCCCAGTGTTACCAAACAGCAGGCTGAGTTGACGTGTGATACAGCAGTTTACTGTGTGGAAGACTGAGTTAGAGGAACTCTTGAGAAGGGTCAAGACAGTGAGTTAAGTTTGCACCTAAGAGAAATTGGCGTCTTTCTGCAACTAAAGTTTGTGATTTTTCACACCCGTGTGTTTAATCAGAGAAATAAAACAAGATTACAGGATGCCAAATGGCATGTTCCTGTCGTTTTCTTTGGGTTTGAAAGACTTGACAGTGTCTTGTGCCCTGTGTGCTCCTTTGATATGTTAAAGTCTCGCCTACATTTAATGTATAAAAGGGAAAGTGTAACCTCAGTTAAGCAAGCATATTTACTGAGTGCTAGGGGAAACCCTGACTCTGTGCTATGCTCCCCTTCAGTTGACTGAATAAAAGATCTCTGTTTGTCAATCTCCTAACCTGAGTAAAGAGAACCTTTACAGTACTTTTTCAATTAATTTCACCAACATTTACAATGAAAAAAGATAATAGGCATCTTAGAATATCCTGACATTGGGTATATGAACATATAGTACCATTTAACAATGATTTTAATCAGTGAACCTCATTGCTGGTCCTAAAGAGCTACAGGAACTGCAATTTTTCATTCCAACGTGACTGCCTAATGACTTAATTTAATTAATAACCATCTAGCCCTTTTAGTAATTACTTGGCTTTAATTACCACAGCTTTCTTACTTTTACTCACTGGGGGACTGGATATCTCTATTAACACTTACAGGGCTGCGCAGGATCAGGAGAAAGGAGCACTGATTTTAATATACAGTATATAAAAATCTCAATTGCAATTTTTCACAAATTGAAGCAATGTGAACAAATACTTGTAAATCATGTTACTTGCATCTTATTGATTGAGGTCAACAGACTGAAGAAGGCACTCACCAGATACTTCTTGCCTTGGAAAAGGACTTGTCAACTCTGAAAAGACAAGAAGAGAGACATGGCTGTTTACATTAAATCACATTCCCCTCAAACCCTGTTTCTGCTGAATTGTTTCTCATACTGACACTTTTTGATGAAATCTAAAGAAGTGTGAGAATATTTTCAGATGCAGGATAATGTTGGGTTCATATTTTTGGAAACAAAACACAAAAGAATGAGAAGTGTTATAGCACTCAATGGTTTAATACAAAAAACCAATGACTATCATAAAATGCTAACAGTACTGTACCTCTATAAGAAAGAAAATAACCTTATTTCCACAAACAAGCAGATACACAGGATTTTAAAACCTCATGCATATAAAATTCCAGTTAAAATAGCTCACAGCATGCAGTCTAAAACACAGTAAAAGATTTCCAAAGCAAGTCCTGTACAAAATCAAAAACTACCATAGTCCTTACAATTACAATTGTACAATTGAAGTTTCGGGGACTTATTCTAATGTTTGTTTTATTAAGAAATGAAAAGTCACCACTTTAAATGAATAATTCATGTAAGAGATTCACATAGAGTATGTTTACATTCTGTTTAGACAAAAGATGTCTAGAAGTATACTCTTTTGTACGGGAGATGAGATTAGGTCTTTAATAAACATATCGCAGCCTGGGTATGGTGATAAAACAAGAGTTGGAAGTTCAGCATCAGTCTCTGAAAATGCATTATCAGCATGTTTTTGCTTTCTGTACTATTTTGTTCTTTACTTTGCCACAGGACGGAACATAAAACCCACCAGCGCAATTGTGGGAAATCAAACCGCCTCTAAAATTAGAGAAGCAGTACCCCTCAGCTCTTCTGATAACTCACCGAGAGCTCCATCTGTTTTGCCTGGATACCAGACAGTTATGTGAAGGGACACCGGTGCTCCAACCTGTGCCGTGGACACCACTTCCTTCCTACCTGAGGAGAGGCTAATTGGCATCTGTGGCGCTTCCTGACCGTCTGCTGCTCTTCACCCTGAGTGACCGCTGCCCTGGTTCCTCCCAGAGCTCGGCGACTCTATCTCTGTGCTCTGCTTGGCAATTCAGAGTTCACTTCCCCCAGCGGGTGCAAACTGGCGAGACCTGGACCTGCTGTCTCCCACCACCTGGGCTCTACCTGTCTGCACTGTGATGCTGCTGTTTAACGTCAATTTATTCCCTGATTTCCTGGACAGATCACTCGAACGGTTTCCAAGGCAACGCTAAGAAGAATGCACAACAGGGATAGCCACTAATGCTTTTTGAAATCCATTTCCTTACCTCTGTATTCCCAAAATAGGTATGCACACAAGTGCTGTGAGGACATTATTTCCACCCAGCCAATGGCAAACCCCATTCACTCAGGTACAACAGTGCAAGATTAAGAATACGCCAGCTACTCCTTATACCATATCTGTGAATGCATGTGGAGAATTGAATGAATCTGTGCATGTGAAAAAGAAACCAGTCCAGCAGAAAGACCAACTATACAGTATTTTTAAAGAGTGGAAAAACATAATTGAACTTCTAACCTCCCGACATTTTATAGTCAGAGATGTACAGTATACTGTAGGCTCCACTGCCATAATCAGTCCAGCAAGTGACACACGGAAACTAATCCATCTATGAAAACGTACATCAACAAAAACATGATAACTGTATAGACTTAAATACTGAAACCAATAACCAAAAGACAAATAATAAAACTATTAACCTTCTAACCTATAAATAATCTATTTTCACTTCACACTTCAACACATTGAACTTGGAGTCTTTTAGACACTGACAGGGATTCGGCTACAACAAAAGGTCTGTGTCCAGTTGTATATAATATCTCATCTCATCTCTTAAGTCAACTGCTTATCCAATTCAGGGTCATGGTGGCCCAGAGCCTATCCTGTGAAGCACAGGTTGCACGGAAACACAGGCAAGATACACCCTGGATGGGATGCCAGTCCATCACAGCGCACACAGACACACGGTTCACACAAGGGGCCAATTTACAGAAGCCAGTTAACCTACCAAGTGTATCTTTAGACTGCGGGAGGAGAACGGAGCACCCAGAGGAAACCTAGGTGACCATGAGTATAACATACAAACTCCACACAGATAGTGTCCCAGGTCCAGAACTGAATCCTGGGCCCCAGCACTGAGAGGCAGCAATGCTAACCCCTGCGCCACCTGTGTATACAGTAATATCTTTAGATCAACTGCAGAATTTGCCCTCCATCCTATTTAATTCAAAACCTTAGTGCCCTCAGCCTTGTGAATTCCTAGGGGGCATGCGGATGATTATATTCATGTTTCTGTTTAGAGTGCAGCGCAGCATCTCTAGTCAAGGAGAGTGGAGGTCAACAAGTGCCAGACAGCGGTGCACAGCTCTCTCTCATTTCTATTTCTCCAGATGCCTGGGAGAGCCGCAGAACCAGGCTGGCATGCAACTAACTAGCAAAAATATCACCAGAAACGATAATGGACCATTATGCACATCTGGTGACTAGAGAGGTAATGATTTAGGAATTCAGTTTAGCCATTTCTTATGGGATTCTGTGGAAGTATAGAAGCAAGGTCAACCAGGTACAGTAGCTGGATAGTTCACCCATTGTCTTACAACCCTTTGTGAAAGGAAGTGGCTCTCAGATTTAATTTGTTAAATTAACCACATGACTAATTTGTTAGCTTCCAACTGAGGGCGGTATTTCCACATTGAGAGAGGCAGTCTTCCAAAAAAACAATAATAGACTGCGTATTTGAAATAAAACATAGATGTATTCAGGTTTACATCGAAGTCTGAGATTTCCTCTACAGCATTTTTGATTTTGGAAATAAGGTGCTGGAAAATGGGTGGAATTTAATTAATTTAAAAAAGAATATAGTCTTGCTGCTCTCACCTTTAGAGAACAACTTGACCTCTTTAGTATTCCAGCCCTTCTGACAGGTGATAGTTTAAGTGTGTCCTGTTTTGTACCTTCCTGTGCTGCGCAATTCATAATTGAGTGCAGTATTGGCAGTTTTCATGTTAAAACTGGCCCCAAGACAGCAGATTTTCCCAGCTTTGCATTAGGCCACTTTTGCTACTTAGCAAAATACATCCACCAATTCGCTTGAGTCTGGAGTAATGATGAGAAAATTATATCCTAGGAGATTAAAGCAGCATGAAGCAAAACCTCATTTAAATCAACTTTACCTTTTGTTTCAGTAGCCCTAGGTAGATAATTTGGAGCTGCTCCTAATTAATGTGACATTCAGGTCTACAACAGCTCATGACCGCTGTGCACTGGGTCTCAGGAAATTCAATGGCATTTCAGTTACATTTGCAAACCTTTAAGCACTTCAGCTGTGAACTGACACTACTTGCTTCACAACACTTACAGTAAGTTTTGACAAATTAAAAGGAAAACTCTTTTGAGGGGCTACAACGAAACATTCAGGAGCAGCCATTTAATGTGCATGTCTCATTCACAATCCACACATGCCCTTTGCATATCACATTTACTGCTTCAGGAGTTTCAGTCCATTCCTTCAGGGACCAATTTCATAGGGTATGGTATTCGTTAAATAAAACACTTAAGTGTTCTTCTGTCGTGCCAATAGGCCCAGTCCTTTTGATGATGAGTTATTGCGCTTGTCTTTTAAGCCAATGGGTGGTGTATGAATCCATACTGGACATTACTCATGCTTCAGTATACAGTAAATACTTTCAAGGAATTCAAATTGTGGCTGAAGCAATTAGCATTTATAATTATAAATCCCAGGATGTAGGATTAGATGTTTTCCTGTTGCAATTGAACAACTGTATTTATACCTTCTTAAAAGTGATTTTCATTATTTGTTGTTTAGGAGTATAAAAATAAATTAATACATGCACTATGTTTCTTTGGTTAAGAGACCTAAGCTGATGATACACCAAAAATCTGCAGACATACAATTATATCTTTGCAAGCGGTTCTCCCCATATCTGTGTTGACAATACATGTCTCCTCATTTCACTCTGTGATTTTGCCCAAAGGGATACTTTAATGACTGAATAATGTTAATTAGAGCACAGCTTATGATTTAAAGACACTGACTTGTACTGTATTTCATTTCACCTGACATGTTTCAGAATGTATTGTGGAAATTGGGGTGTATGCTTGTGAAATATTTGTGAACACAGAGTAAAACAGATAGGGCATATATTTCCAGTGTTAAAGGATACTTTACACACAAATTCACCAGACTATGTTTCAGCTGGTTGAGGAAGCATCTCAAATGTTTTTAGCTACGCATTTCAGCAATTGGAAAGAAAAGAGTGAGATCAGGATGGCAGGAAACTGCTAAAACATTATGATTCATAGTTGGATATTTCAAACTGGAGGCTACACAAATAATTGGTGATTCTAAAATTAAAACAGCAAAAATAGAGGAAATATACTTTAGTATCAAACCGGGGAGAAAACAAGAACAAAGTGAAAACTCTAAATACAATACAATTTATAAAATATTTCAATTTCCTTTTCATTATTCACAGTCCCTTGCTTCTCTTTGGGTACGTGAGCAGTGAACACATACGCATCTATAGTTAGGAAAGTTCTGAATCCTTGTTTCCTATGCAGTTACATTTGCTGGCTGGATAAGCAGCAACATGGAGGGATTATGTAGCTGCTGAGTCTTGCCATTACGCACTCTGCAAATTTATGTGCATTTAAATGAAGGAGGGTGGAGGTTTACCTTTTCAGCTGCAGAAACAATCCTGAGATGAATGTAATACATACAGATGAGACGAAAGTTAACAGTCCAATTTGCTTCATTTTGTGTTTTTTTTCCCCAAATCATTCACTTGCATGATAGCACTCCAAGGTGCAGAAATGTTTTACTACTAGTGAATTTACACAGAGACGAAAGCAATTGAAATTCAGACAGCATTACCCCATTTTCTAGACTGTGGCTTCATCACTGAGACTGCATTTGAATGATCTCTGTGCTCTTTCAGGGTTCTCCGTTTCCGAAGTTAAGAGTATATTTCCACAGTCTAGGGAG